GGGAGGCCGTGGCTGTGGCAGCACCCTCCCCAGCTGGGCGCTGGGCCTGTTCCCTCTGGCACCAGGCGGGCACAGACCCTGTCTTGTGGGGCTTGTGAAAGCATGCTGTGTGTGCCTGAGATGACAAGCTGGGCAATTGTTCCTGCCCCCTCTCCAGGGCAGTGCCAAGGACCCTGGGAGGATCAGGCTCGGGGAAGGGGCCCACACTGGTGGGGCCACTGTCCACCCCACCTGGTGTCCTGGGGGTTGTGGCCTCCCCTCCTCTCTCTAAAGAGCCTAGAAAAGTACCCCAAATGCATCTGGAAAGGAGCACATGGTCCTCTGACCTGGGCGGGGGCGGCAGCCTGGGAGCCCTGGACACTCAGGTGGCATTTGTTCATTTGTCCCTCTACAGTTCCCATGCCCTTCACACTGTCCTGGCGGGGGGGTGGCCAGGCTTCTTCAGGGACAGCATTTCCTGGAGGCTGGACTTGGCTAGAAGATTCGGAGCACAGACCTGAGCTGAGTCCAGGAGTCAGCAGGTGGCCTCCAGAGCCCTCTCGCTGTGGCCACTCCGGGTTCCATGGTGTCCCAGGGCTGCCCTGCTTTCCCTGCCCGACACAGGCCTCGTGAGTGGGCACCTCTGAGCCCCGGCTGCCCATCTGTGAAATGGGGGTGACAGGTTGCTGAATAGGCAAGAGGAGCTTGGTGGTCCAGCTGCACAGTTGTCCCTGCTGGGCAGCTGGCCTTCAGTGACAACCTTGCCAGGGATAGTCCCGGCCTCACCTCACCCGCCTGGGGTGGCTGAATCAGAGGGCGGGTGGTGACTCACTCCGAGGTTGGGCATTTCCCTCCCGGCCCCCGGCTGCTAGGCTGGGGAGATGGGCAGGCTCACTGCAGGGACCCGGGGAGGGGTGACTCCTTTGTCTGGGAGGCCCTCGGCTGTGGTGACTTGGTCTGACTTGGGGGTCCCAGGTCCTGGCTTCTGGAGCCTTCTCATGGCTGCTGCAGGCCACAGGGGCTCTGGTCCCTGGGACTGAGATCCAGACAGGCCCCGGAGTCTGCCATGGCCTCATCAGAGTGTAGCTCATCCCCACCCCCTTCCAGGAAGCCTGTCCTGATGTCACCAACCCCTCTTGGACCTCTCGCCTCCTTGGATGTGAGAAAATTAGGAAGTTGGTGACTCACTTCTCTGGCCCAGCCACACCTGGGGCAGACCCCTCTCATCTGGCCTGGTTCTAACGTGAGCTCCAAGGGCAGGGAGGCTTCCCTTAGTTTCTCAATCTGGGTGGAGAGACTAAGACCCATAGCATGACTGGGGACCACGAATGCCCTTTTCATGGGAATTTTAACAAAGGTGGATCTTGCATGTATCCAGTGGATCTTCCAGTCCATGTGTAGGACTTTCGGCCACGTGGAAGGTCACTGGGTCAGCCTCAGGGACAGAGCCCTGTGTCGTTCCACAGACCTCCCTGCCACCCTCCTTAGTCAGACTGCCCTTTCCTGCCCCAGTTGGAGAAGTCAGGCTGGGGTATTTCTGGTATGCACTGGACAGTGAGCTGGGGAGTCCCTGACCTCCCAGGTCGTGACCATGCCAGCGCCAGAGGGCACAGGACCACGGGTGTAACAGCCTGACCCACCTCGTGTTCTGGTCCCATTTCTCACCAGCTCTGTGGCATCAGGCAGCTCCTTCTCCTCCGGGCCTCAGCCGTCTCATTGGTGAAGTAGGATCACAACCCTCGCCTCCTGGGGCTGTGTGTGCGGGTGATGGGTGTCAGCACCGTGTTGGGTGCAGGTGTCGCGTGGACAGCACCAACCATATCACACATTCACGACGCCTCCCAGACATGTCCAGTGTGCAGCCTGTGTGTCCACATCTCTTTGGCTGCAGGGTGGCCCTGCAACTGCCCCCGACCTGGAGCACCCCTCCCGCACCCCCGCCTTGGTGCTGCAGCACCCCCTCTGAACTGACACCTGGTGATGTGTCCCCTCCCCTTCTCACCGGGCTGCCCTGGGAGGATGTCAGGGGAGGGGCGCTCAGGGGCTGCCCAGGGGCCCCAGTGGTCGAGGAGACAGATGTGTCCTTGATCCAGGCAGCTGGTGGGGTTTGCAATTGCTTGTAGCACTGCCGTGGAGCTAGAGGCAGAAATACCTGGCTACGGATCCTGCAGGCTGGGATGGTCTCCGCCCGAGGTGTCTAGGCCTCCGCTGGGGGACATGAGTGACCGGGGGCTCGACAGCAGGAACATCTCCATCCCTCGTCCTGGGCCCGAGTTGGGGATACAGCACAGAGCTGCAGCCTCTCTGGGTGGCGTGGGCTTCCATGCACAGTTGGATGCAGCGGACTTGGTGCCGAGGGCTCCAGGAGCAACTTCACGTCAACCAGGGCTAAGCCCCCAGCTTCGGGGTCTGGTCTCGGAAGTCGCACAGTGTCACTTTCAGCAGGATCCAGGTCGTCCCGACCCACCTGGACTCAGGGAGGGGACACGGTCCCCACAGCTTGATGGGAGAAGAGCAAAGCACTTGAAGCCCGGGCTTAAAATCACCACTCCCTCTGCTTCCAGGACCACAGTCTTGACCTAGACAGGCTTCTGTTGGGGGTCAGTGAGCACATGTCGCTGTGCTGTGTCTCTCTGGTCCCTGGGAGGGAGACCCCACCTGCAGTCATGGTCCTGCTCACGTCAGGACGGGGCTCCTCAGCACGGGGACCCTATTAGCTGTCCCCCCAGGCCCATGCACACAGTAGAGATACGAACATTTGTTGAATGAATGCATGATTGACTCCAAACCCACACAAAACCTCGCAGGGACGGCTTGGATCAGAAGAGTTGAGCTGCTGAGTTGAGGAGCCCCAGGCACTTAGCTGGGCAAGGAATCTGAGAGCTGGGGACAGGGGGGCCTTTGCCAGGCCACGGTGGGCATGCCAGAGCCGACCTGCGCCCTCTCCCACCTGCGCGCCTCTAAACCCTTCATACCACCTGAGTCAGAAGAAATTTTTATTTTGCTTTTGGTAAGACCATCATTGCTTCCAGAGTTACCGCAGCTGATTTTACCTGCCTTAGAGGAGAAAGCCCTGGTCATGCGTCCAGACTCCTGGGAATACTTGTGCTTCACATTTTCTGTAGACGAAAACTGTGATGGGAACCTCACGAATTCAGGCATCCCCGTGTGACTTCTGCACATTAGTCTGTCGTCCGTGGTATCCCACATGGCTGCTCTTCTGCAAGTGGCC